CTCAGGCTCTGCTGCCACCTCTTCTGCTCTGTCTGATGGTCACTGCTCCTTTCTTGCGTGCGAACGCCCTGTCACTGTTGGTCTGTTTTCTTTTTTAGAACAAGGACTTTAAAATCAATTCTGCTCCATCACGTGTTTCATCAGTGGTCTCTACTGTGGTCCCTCACTGTGCTCCCGTTCCCACGTGTTCACTGTGTCCCTCACTGTGTCCCGCATTTTCCGTGTCCCTCACTGTGATCTCTCACTGTGTCCCTCACTGTGTCCCTCACTGTGTCTCTCAGTGTGTCCCTCACTGTGTCTCTCAGTGTGTCCCTCACTGTGTCTCTCACTGTGTCCCTCACTGTGTCCTCTGCTGCTGTGTCTGCAGTGTTCACCACAGTCTGCTCTCCTGCTGCCGTTTCACTGTCATCACTTTTCTCCCTCCCTGTGTGACTGACAGCTGCTTCATCCTGTCCTTGTCTCTGAGTGTCAGAGTCTTCTTGACTCTGCTGTGTCTGTTTTGTCCCCTCACCATCTTGTCCAGCTTGTCTCTGTGTGTCTCCTCTCTCCTCCTCCCTCTGTGTTTTATCAGCAGAGGAGACTCTATCAGGACAGGCTCGGACTAAATGACCCTCCCTCCCACATCCAAAACACTTTAAAGTCCCAGAGTTCACAAACACAACATAATCAAAATCATCCACTCTCACATTAAAAACGAGACTGAGCTCCTCGTCCTTTTTGTTGAGGATCATCAGAACCTGCCGTCTGTGTGAAACCACATGCTTCAGCAGCGGAGATTTACAGCCCGACGGCAGTTTCCTGATCTGGGAAACGATCTTCCCGTGTCTCGCCAGCTCCCTCAACAAAACCTCATCACTGATGAACGGAGGGATGTTTGATATGGTGACTTTTTTAGCCGGTGTGGTGAGAGGAGACACCGACACAAACGTGTCATTCACGACAATTCCGGTTTCAATAATCTTATTTACTTTCTCGACGCTGTCAACAAAGATCACAACAGCGCCGTTCATCCGAGCAGCTGATTTAATGCTGCTGTGACCCACAACGTCTCCCACCGGGAGAAAAACCGCTGGTTTTTGTTGCTATGGTTTCGTCCTCACCTGGACAAATGAACAAACCAAGAAGCCGTTTAGAAAACGCCTCATGTTCACCATCTGCAGGTGATAAACGCTCATCAGCTCATCATGTTCTTACCTGACTCCTCAGGTGAGGCCTGGATGGGGAAGGTCAGCTGTTGCTTGTTCAAACCATCAGTCACGTTACATGAAAAGATCTTATACCTTGATCCATAAATGAAATGAGAAGTCTGAAAACTCACAGAGACGCTGCAGAGAGACTGTGATGTCAACAAGTCACTGTGACCTTTATCCACATCTCTACCCTGATACAACCACTTCACTGACTGTCTACAGTCTCTGAACGTCGACACAGAGCAGGTAAACGTCACCTCATCACCGTCCTTCTGTTCAGTTACTGGTGAAGACGGAGACATTGAGAGAGAAAGACAAGAGAGAAATGAACTTCATCACTGTAATAATCATCATGATTGTAAAGTTTCAGTGTTTTGTTCTAACAGACAGTTTGATGTAAATACTCACTGGTAACAACAGACAGGTAAACCAGAGAGACTGAACCTTGTTGTCGTCCTGATTCAAACTGTCTGCAGGTGTACAGACCAGCATCTTCAGCTGAGACCTTCTTCACAACCAGAGAACATTTCTCTGTCAGACTCAGTCTGTCTGATTTAGATCTGGCTTCTTCATGAATCTTCCCAAGTTCAAACAGTGGTACTGCTGAGCTGCTTCCTGAACCACTGAGGAGCCAGGTCGTACCGTCACATTTAACCTGATCTTCTCTCACCCTCCCACAGGACAAAGTGACGTCATCTATGACTCTGACAATGACGGATGAATCTTGTCCAGCTGCTGCTGAGAAGTGAAATAAGAGAATCATCTGACATTAGACTGAGGCTGTTTCAGTTCATGTGAGCAGGATTTCAGATTCAGTAGAAGTTTGTTAATGTTTCTCATCTTTGGTTGAAGGAGATTAAACTAACCATGTTAAACACACACTGTACTCCGCTGCTCATACATGAAGGTCAGTTATAATAAAGTTAAGCTTTGTACTGATCCTGTCATTTCTATATGAACACGTCTCCTTACCTGTAAACTGAAGCAGCAGCATCATCAATAAAAACATTTTAGTCCGTCTGAATTCAACCATCGAGCTTCTGTCTCTGGTTCTCATGCTTGCAGCTGTCACAGTGTCTAAGATCTTGTAGAAACACATCACCAACTTCCTGTGGTAGGTGTGATGTAACTTCCTCTTGCCCATTATATTTGTTGTGTCATGTCCCATGATGCATCTGTGATAATGACATGTTTGACACCCTATAAGAAGAAAGACTGAGGAAGTTAAAGGCAGACACATAAACAGACTCCTCGTCCACCAGGATCTGACCTTTGGAGTACAACATGGTGATACTGCAGCAGCTGGGAGAGAAAGGGGAAATGATGCGTCACTGGTCTTCAGAGAGTTAGGGCGAAGTGTTTTGGTGAGAATCTGGAGGTGTTACCCTGTAATGATGACCAGATAAATACCAGAAACACGAACGAACTAAAACACTGACGAGTATGTAAATGACACTGTTGTCATGTTTACGTGGCCGATACTGACAAAAGACAGATATTGTGTTATTTTGAGATGCTACAGTTTTTCAAGCCGGGATTTTCCTGCTGAAATGTGAAGTTATAGTAGAACCAGAATCGCCTCCTCGTGGTCGTATCCCTCCGCCACTCTGACTAGTTCCAGGTCACATCGCTGTTTATCCAGAGTCAGAGAAAATATGAACTATTTGCATGAAATGTCACAATTCCTGTGTGAAGTCTTCGGTAATGGCTAGAGTGTTTTGTGAGGTCATAATGACCTTTGACCCTTGACCATCAAAATCTAATCAGTTCCTCAGATCAGATCTTTGAGTCCTAGTGAACATTTTTTTACCAAATTTGACGGGATTCCCTTGAAGAGTTAAGGAGATATTGCCTTCAGGCCAAAATCATGGTGAGGTCACCATGACCTTTGACCTTAAGCAACCAAAATCTAATCCGTTCATCCTTAAGTCCAAGTGAACGTTTTTACCAAATTAGAAGAAATTCCATCAAGGTGTTACTGAGATATAACGTCCACGAGAATGAGACAAGAAAACAAGATGGCCACCGGCTCCGACTGTCACCGGCACGTAGGTATAAAAATAAAAATATGCCCTCGGTCTCGGTTGGAATCAGGTCTCAGGTTCATTAGATCCAGGTGGGTTCGGTTGGGTAAAGTCTTGGTTTCGGGCCTGTGCAGAACTCGACACCTCTGTCCTGAAGAGTTGGTCTCAAAGCTCTCAGATGTTTCAGGTGTTTCTGTTGTTTGTCCACCAGATTTAAACCAGTGAGTGCAGGTGAAATAACAAACACCTCTGTGTATAAAGCAATACAGGTCAATCAACAGCTCTCTGAAACTAGTTCAATCAAAACTGAACGTTACAACCTGCATAAAGGAGGATTTATCACAGCACTGTTGTGTTAGCAAGGTGTACCTAATAAACTGAGCCAACTGTGTGTATCCAATATGTCTGCCTGGTTCTCCTGCTCTGCACCACTAGAGGGAGTCTCAACTCTTTCCATGCCTACATATGTGAGGACCAGTTCCAAACCCCCCTCCAGCCCCAGAGCCTGAACCCCCTCAGACTTTCATCATGTGACCTGTGACATCACTGTAGGTGTGAGGTCTCCAAACTTCTCAGAATCACTTTACCTGGAGGAAGTACTCAGACCTTCACTCAGTGACACTCTACCACGTCAGAATACTCCTCCGCTTTATGTAAAAGTACACAAGTATCAGTGTTGTGCTGTTACCACTGATGCATCAACACATGAGGAGCATCGTGTTGTGTGGTGGCCACACCTGCGGCCGCACCTGCAGCCACACCTGCGGCCACACCTGCGGCCACACCTGCAGCCACACCTGCAGCCGCACAGCAGTAAATGTCGGTAACCCCCGTGCTCTGAAACCTTTCTGTTATTTTAGAGTCTTTTGATTCTTTTACACCCAAACTGCACAAACACACGGATACATACATGATGACACATAGTTCTTCCTTTCATGCAACATACCTATTGTTTATTTAGTATTTGTTGGAAAGGCATGAGTTCTATTTTTAGCACCTCATTTAGTTAATTTTTGTATATTTAACATTTATGTTCATTTATGTAAACTAATCTTAAGTTGTTCTATTTCTGTTTTCTGTTTTACCAGTGCTGCGTGCTCATTATTGGCTGAACCAAGTGCTTGCCACATCACGGGGGGGACTGCAGTTATTTAGTTTGGTTATCGGGCATTTCTTTAGACTAAGATTTGGCATTAAGATATTTCTTATTTTTTGTAGAGTTTATAGGGAATGTATTTTACTTTACAGACCAACTGTCCTGTTTCAGTTTTGTTTGTTAAGGTGTTAGTGTTTATGTTACCCCCTTTGTGTGTACAGCTGGTCTGATCAACCAGTATATAAATTAGTTTAGAGTTTAGTTCCGTTGATTTAACTTCTTTTAAGGGCCCAGAACATTTTTGTTTGCTCGTACAATAATTTGTCTGATCACCTGTGGCTCCTCGTTCCCTCCAGCTCCGTCCCTCACAGTTGTGATACCCAACCTGTGGAGTGGGGCCTCTCAAAGCGTCACAAGGTGAATCAGAGGGGTCATGAAATAATTCAACAAATAGGAAAAGAAAAATTTTAATTTTTTTTTTATTTAATCTTTTTTACCTCTTGCAGCTTTATTTTATTTTTTTTTAACTTTTCTAAACTGAGGAGTAAATACAGCTGTCAGATAAATGTCATCTTGGTTGACCTCTTTTCAGGTTATGTGCAATTCTACTGTCACTGCTGCTGCTATGAATTGTGGGTTTTTCAATGCATCATTAACTGTTAGGTCATGGCGTTGATACTGTGTCTTTTATTGTGAAAGGTCTACAAATGTAAAGTCAGTGGGTGGAAGTGACTGACATCAGAATCATGAATCACATAATTACCTTTAGTGCAGATGTCTACATATTACAGAGAAATCGTTCACATGTGAATAAAAATGCTAAACTTGACACAAATCCTTCTTGGGTATCACTCTTTTGATAAAACACATGAGCCATTCAAGAATTCAAGATGGCCGCCATTTCTGACAAAATTCATATGTACATATATTACATTTGCTTGTGGGCTTATTTGTACTCTTATATGTTTGGGAAGTTGGAGTACATGCTGCTGGGATCAGAAGAGGAGAAAGTTTTCACATTGCTGTAGATCACTGGATCACCATCATCATCATCATCATCATCATCATCATCATCATCATCATTACGGCGAACCTGGGAAACAAAAGGGAAACAGTATTAAACAGAAATGGACAAAAACATAAACACTAACCAGACGCCTGAATGTGCTGCTGTATAATAACTGAAATGTTCACTTAGAAGATTTTCTGAATCCTGTGTGTGAAGTTGACATGTTTTCTAATCACTCACATCACTGGTCTCACATGTAGACATTAGCTAGCTAGTTAGCTAGTCTGAGACACTTACCCAGAACATACATGTTTAAAATCATTGAGAAATTAATAAGAAAAACATATAAACATATTTAATTTTTATATGTATGTTGTATAGTAAACTTGCATATATACATTAAATATATATCATTAACATATATGCTTGCAACATATAAAAATTAATCAAAATCAATCATTTCTAGCTAGCTAGCTATCTCACAGCTAATGTCTCTGTGGAGCTATATTGTTAGCTAGCATGTTGTTAGCTGAGGATGATAGATAGATAGATAGATAGATAGATAGATAGATAGATAGATAGATAGATAGCAAGTCAAGTTATTTTTTATTTCTATAGCACCAATTCACAACATAAGTTGTCTCAAGGCATTTTCCAAATAGAGCAGGTCTAGACCGTCTCTTTATAACATTATTTACAGAGACCCAACAATTCCCACCAAGAGCAGCACTAGGCGACAGTGGCAAGAAAAACTTCCTTTTAAGAGGCAGAAACCTGGAGAAGAACTGGACTCAGGGTCATGCAACAGCATCATCTAATGAATGATACTAATGAAGACAGAATAAAAGGAGTTGTTCAATACTTTGTGATTTCTGAAGTTAAAAACATTGAACAACAATTGCGTCCGAGCCAGGTTCATCACTTTTTTGTGTCCCCTGGAAACACTTCCTGTTGTGTTGCGAGTATTTGCAGCATGTGTTGTCAAATTGTTGAAAATGTTTTCTGAATTTGTTCATGTTTTGAGCCCTCAGGGCCACCGTACTTTACACTTTTCCCAGCAGAAGCAGCCGTTAGCCACCAGCTAACGGCACAGTCGTGCTGAACAGGTATAAACAACCACACGGACAACAAGGCTGTGGTAAAGTCCAAACTGAGTGAGTGTTTGTCTCCAGACTAACCTGCTGTTAAAACCACAGACATTTATAAGGTTTGGCCAACACCATCTCATCTATGCTGCTTGTCTTTCCACCACCAACACCGGTACAACCAGTCAGACAGCTCACCTGGGCTTTACTGTTGGTCATCCTGATGGCGATGACGGAGGAGTAGGAAACACCGTCTTCAGGATCAGCCTGAACAGTGAAGACACTGAGTCAGTAACACATGCACTTCATTGAATTCTGTGCTTTTTTTCTCTCTCACGTTTCAGAGAACAAACATAAATAACAACGAGTGTAAGTTTGTACTGTGGTGTGTGATCTCGCCGTGTCCTGACGGGTCTCTTGGTTTAAGCTCAGCCCCTGAAAAGAAAAGAAAAGACATGAGGAGCTGATCATCTGTGTCACATCTGTACAAACATTTGATCATTTAAAACTCACAGCGCTGTGATCCCTCTGTGTTCTGTTCTCTGGAAAGACGAAAGAGTCGACTTTATCCTCCACAGTGAAAATCCAGGTTTATTAAACCTTTTTGTTTTAACAAAGTTTTGTCTGTGGATGTTCTCACCTTCAGTTCTTTTCCACTTGATCACCAACACAACAATTATCAGGAGCATCCCTAAACCCACAGCGACAGTGATGAACACCCACCACCGATCTGAAACGAACGTTCAAAACATTTTGACACAAAATCCTGCAGCTAAAACAATTCACAACCAAAGATCAATTAGTGTAACTTTGTGAAGTTTAAGTATAAAAACAGCGTGGTGTTGAAGAATGTAAAGAACAAAACATCTTATTATTCCTCTGCGCCGGAGTGGCAGCCATTTTGTTTTCGGGTTGTCTGTACGTATGTACGTCTCATTCTCCTCGACACGATATCTCAGAAATACTTGGCACAAACATTCACTTGGATGCAAAGGATGAACTGATTAGATTTTGTGGGTCAAAGGTCAAGGTCACAGTGACCTCACAAAACACACAAATTGTTAATATTTTGTATGACTCTGGATAAACAGGGATGTAATCTGAAACGAGAGTGGAGGAGGCGGAGGTTACAAACCTGTGAAACAAAACATTAAAAAGTGAGGTAAAGTCATTACCTTGTTGTTTTGATGAAGCATCGTTGAATGATGTTAAAACTGATCTTGTGTTTTCAGCTGTTGTTGTTGTTTGTGCGCCCTCACCTGGAAGAATGGAACAACACAACCTGAGAAAACCTGAGTTCAGTCACAAAACACCTCAAGTTACTAACAGACAAAGAACAATGTCTCAAACTGTTCGTAATGTCCTCACCTGTTGTCTCACCTGTTGTCTCACCTGAGGACTGACTGCTGAAGGTGAAGTGGTGCACTACTCCAGTGTGAGCAGACGTGTGTGTTACGTTACACTTCAACAACTCATGAATAAAGTGAGGTTCCTCAAAATTCACAGAGGCCCAGCAGCTGGACCGTGACATCCTCAAGTCTCTGTGATGTGTATCCACATCTTCACCCTGATACATCCACTTCACCAGGTACCTGCTGGGTTCAGGTGTGAGCACAGAGCAGTTTAACGTCACTGAACCACCGTCCTTCTGTTCAGTCACTGGTGAAGATGAAACATTGAGAGAGAAAGAAAACAAGAGAGAAATGAACTTCATCTCTGTAATAATAATAATTTTGTTCTAACAGAGTTTGATGTAGATACTCACTGCTAACAACAGACAGGTGAACCACAGATCTGTTGACCTGTGTGCAGCCGTACAGACCAGCATCTTCAGCTGTGACCTTCTTCAGAACCAGAGAACATTTTTCTGTCAGACTCAGTCTGTTTGATTTAGATCTGGCTTCTTGAATCTTCCCTTCGTGAACCAGCAGTACTGCTGCTTGGTTTCCTGAGCCAGTGAACTTCCAGGAAGCTCCGTCGCATTTATACTTATCACCTTTCACATGTCCACAGGGCAAAGTCACTTCACCTCCAAGTCTGGCAGACAAGTAGGAAGTGGTTTGTTCAGTTACTGCTGGTGAGAAGATGAAAGAGAAACATGAAAATTAGATTAAAATACAGGGGGGTTTTTACACTTATTGTAAAGATCAACAAGAGAAACTGTCAATAATATTTTACAGTGTTGTTCAGGTAACCTCACCTGTAAGCTGAACCGTCACTATGAGAAATAAAGATATGTAATCCATCCCAGCCATCGTGCTTCAAGTCTCTTGACTGTCAAAGTCTCTGAACCGCTGTTACTTCAATCTTTTATAAGTGTACTTCCTGTAATTAAGGACGTTTCACTTCCTCATCATTAGCCTTTTTAGAGAGACTGTGGGTGTGACGGCAGCAGAGCTCGACCTGATAAACATCACAAACACTTGAGACTATCTGAGTCCTGCTCAGGGTCTCTGAGACTCCAGCAAGGTTCTGTATTTCAAAATAATGCACATGAACAGTGTAGTTCAGCTTAAGACCTTTATGATCTTGAGGACTGAGCAAGGTCACATGACCACTGTGTTTGTTCTCTCATCCTCCATATCTCTGCTCATCTCAGCCTCCACCTCCTCACTTCTGCTTTTGACATCAAACACACTCGTCTCCTCCCTTCACCTCTGAACCTACGTCAGCATCATCTGTGCTGCTCCCTGCTGGGTGAAGTCGGATCTCGTCACAGACAGACATCACTTCATCACCAGCTGCCCCCCCCCCCCCCCCCCCCCCCCGTGTCCCAAACATAGACTGTAAATAAAGATGGACATTGATTACAGGTGTCATGAAGGAGGAAATCAGCTCTAGAGACCAAAACAGTTTCTGTACCAGGCTGTAAACATGTTTATTTCTGCTGTAAAGTTGGACATTTTAACATGGGAGTCTATGGGGACTGACTCACTGTTGGAGCCAGACTCTAGTGGTCGTTAGAGGAACTGCAGCTTCTGGTTCTTCAGTGTTGATGCTTCATGTTTCAGCCTCGGAGGTTGAAGCTTGGTCCTCTACTCTTCCTCCTCTATCTTCACACCCTCAGAAACATCAACTGTCTGACTGTCCTCCACTGCTGCTGCACTCATGATGTCCAGCTCTACATCAACAAAATGCACCATGAATAACTTCAGAGAAGACAGAGACGGAGAAGCAGCTACAGCAGCAAACGTCTCATCTCCCTGCAGAACAGAGAGGTTCAGAAGATCCTTCATTCCCACTGCCATCAGTTCTGTTCTGCCAACTGTTTAAACTGTTAAATGCCATTAAACTATTCTGTGATTGTACTTTATTGTAATTTTATAATCCATCACATGAAGAATCTTTTAATATCTGGCAAAGTGTTTTAAAATAAAATGTATTATTATTATTATTATTATTATTATTATTATTATTATTATTATTATTATTATTATATCAAATATGCAAATTTGCACCCCTCAGTTTTTGTATTATTGACCAGGTGCATGTTAGATGTGGTGAGCACAGCCCGGAGAGTCATTAAAGGTGTCCTGTGTTATACTTGTGTATGTTTGAGCAGGTAACAACACTGACTCTAGGTTTTTACATAGTGACACTAGTAAACCTACTACGCCGCCTTCTGGACAAAAATCTTTTTACAAGTCCAAAAAATGACTACAAAAAAGAGAAAAAACATCAGCTGTGTTAAAAAGAGGCATAACACTGATTTATTATGACAGTAGAAAATACATTTAGACCATGTAACACTGTGTGTTTATACAGTTAAATGTTGCTGAGGAGCTTTATCAATGTCAAATAAATGTATTGATTTCAAATGTAACTGTATGTGCTGCTCGTTGACCCACAGCGCCCCCATCTGGTCAACAAGGCTTTATACAGCAAGAAATCCTGAAACTGATCATGAAATAATTGTAATACAAACATTACTTTTGGAAATGAGAAGTTACATCACAATATAACATGAACTGACTTGAACTGATCAGTCATCAATGTAAAATATCTGTAATGAGATTAGATGTTTTTTTTATGGTTTTGGTTTGTTGACGGTGGGGTAGAGGTTCCGGGGATCCACGGAGAACCCAGCAGAAGAGGAGGGAGGTTCCACAGTGCTGTAGATCGCTGCATCATCATCATCATCATCATCATCATCATCATCATCATCATCATCATCATCATCATCATCAACCCGAATCTGGGAAACAAACAGGAAACAGAATAAAACACACACACCTGATTTGTCCTCCATCTAATGAAAAGTTACTTTGTAGTATCACTGAAATATAATGTCCTTGACCAGCCTGAGTCTCTGCAGGATTTAACCTCAGCCCCTGACAGAAAGAAAGAAAGAAAGAAAGAAAGAAAGAAAGAAAGAAAGAAAGAAAGAAAGAAAGAAAGAAACAGACAAACAAACAAACAAACAAACAAACAAACAAACAAACAAGAACAACAGATGAAATGACACTGATGGAACAGGAAGTGGTTTACACTGTGAAATCATGACTTAAACTTAAACTCAGTGTTTTCATCCGTCTTTGCTTTTTGTCCTGAAAACACAAAGAGGGTCGACTGCAGCTTCAGCAGCAAGAATCCAGGTTCCTTATATATATATATATATATATATATATTCCTTATACATATATATGCAGTATATATATAAGTAACTACCAGAGAAAGAATGATGTCATCTCAAACAGCTCATCAAGTCCTCACCTGTTGTCTCACCTGTTGTCTGACCGGAGGACAGACGGCTGAAGGTGAACTGATGCACTACTCCGGTGAAAGTGTTTCTGACGTTACACCGCAGGTTCATCATTGACGTGTGAGTAAAGAGAGACAGAGTGGTCGAGCAGCCGGACGCCTTCAAGACTAAACCCACAACTGCACGTCTGACCCACCACTTCACCGAGTGTCTGCACGCTCTGAACGTCGACACGGAGCAGGTAAACTTCACCTCATCACTGTCCTCATGTTCAGTTACTGGTGAAGACGGAGACGAGAGAGAAAGACAACAAGAGAGAAATGAACTTCATCACTGTAATAATCATGATTATTGTAAAGTTTCAGTGTTTATTGTTTTTACTCAGGTGTATTATTATTTGTCTTCTGTCGCAGCTCAAATTGCTGTGAGCTGGAATGAGCCAGAACAGCGGTTCCCAACCTTTTCCGCCCACATCCGACCCTGTAACAATATGGAGGCCAAATAACGCCTTCTCAGAGCACTTTTATTTTAATGATATCGATCAAACATGGGCGTATTACAGAGATAGTCTTTAATAATTACTAATTATTTTCTCTCCAATTGTTTAAATTGTTGTAAAATTGTTTTGCAACTGATTTGACCGCCATACCTTCCTCTACCTCCGCGGCCCACCAGTGGGACCCGGCCCACAGGTTGGGAACCACTGAGCTAGAAACATAAAACTTGGCCCAATGACTGGAAATGATATGTACCAGCTTTCCAACAAATATCAGCTCAATCGGCCACATGGTGGCGCTGTAATCAAGGCCAATTTTGGAAAGGACACACCCCTAACATCGTCCAGTGCAATGTGCTCCATGAAGCACCACGCCATGATGGACTTACTGCTAATTAGCATAATGTGAAAAACTTTATGAATATTTACTTTAGCAGCTCGGTGGACTAAATTACAAATTTCTATCATAAATGAACAAGATTGGTCAAAAACATGGCCGCCATCTACCTAAATATCTTTGCACAGGGCGGGGCTTGGAGAATATTGCCCATAACTCATTAACTAATTAATTAATTGTCCAGTAATCATAAAACTTGGTAGATATCTTAAAGCCGTGACAGGAAAGAGGTCTACCACAGCATTTTGAGCTTGACCTATAGGGGGCACCACAAATACCAAAAATGTGTAACTCAAGACTTATATCTATAGTTGATGGTTAATTGATGGAAGTGGGCATGGCCTATTCATCAATATCTGTCATCTTATTTCTTTGCTCAATTTGCAGAGGGCTGGATCGAGTCAGAGACACGAAAACTGGCTCCATAACTAGAAATGATGTGCAAATACATCCCAAAAGATATGATCTCAATCGTTCAGAGTTTGAAAGGTACACCGTAAAGAGAAGCCGCAAACTGACGCTTACAGCTATAATTTGTTCAAACATTAAGATGTAAATACTCACTGGTAACGACAGACAGATCAGTCTGAGCATCTGGAGGTTGATAATGTCCTGATTTGTCAAACTGTCTGCAGCTGTACAGACCAACATCCTCAGCTGAGACCTTCTTTAGAACCAGAGAACAGTTCTCTGTCAGACTCAGTCCGTCTGATTTAGATCCGGCATCTTTATTAATCTTCCCAAGTTCAAACAGTGTTACTGTCGCGTTGTTTCCTAAACCACTGAAGATCCAGGACGTTCTGTCACATTCGTCTTTATCGTCTCTCACATTCTCACAGGACAAAATGACGTCATCTCCATCTCTGACAAATATGTAGGAGTTTTTATTTTCAGTTGCTGCTGCTGAAAAGAATGAAATATTTTTACAGTCAGTGTGAAGATTATTTTACATACAACAGTTTGTAATGTGTCATATCTTTGGTGTCCAGTAAACTTACATGTTAAACACAAACAACATATTTGTCTCGGTTTATTCACACTAATAATAAAGCTGTTGTTTCTATATTTCACGTGTCCTTACCTGTAAACTGAAGAATCAGGATCAGATAAAAAACATTTGAATCCGTCTAAACTCGACTGTCGTGCTCCTCCGTCTCCTGCGCTCGTGCTCTCAACTGTCAGAGCATCTTTTTAGACGAAGACGTCATCTACTTCCTGTGATGTCACTTCCTATCAGTGACTAAATTCATGTGGATGGAGCAGAACAGTCGTTCTTCTTCAATTAGATTTTTAATGTTCATTTCTCTCTGAACAACAGTGACTGATCAACCAACAATGAAGAGGTCAGAGGTCACAACATCCAGGTAAACTGAAGTGAGTTTAAAGGACTGGGAGGGAGAACTGACTGTGAGATCAACACTGATCATAAAGAGAAGAAATATGTCGCTGTGTTTACAACAGGGTCTGAGGTCATGTGGGATTTTAAAGTGAAAACTAAATTAAGATTCAACGGGTACAAACTGTGTATGACATCTTTGACACCCTGAAAACAAAGAGCTGAGAGGAAGTTAAAGGTATGAAGACAGATTAATGTTTGCATGAGAGCAGCTCTTCTTCTGGGGGGGGGGATGACGTGTTACTGGTCTGAAACTTGTTGGTTCCTCATTGTGTTCATGAAGTCTTTGTTTCTGAGAAGTGAGGGGGAAGTGTTTTACGGAGAACCATAGACATCACCCACAGGTGTGTGAGGCTCAGAGTGAGCTGCTTCACCATCGCCATCTTGGCAGTGCCTGACTCTGCCCCTAACTCCCAGCTGATCTAAAAATGTTCAAAGAAGAGGGGCGTGTGTGGAGCTCAGGCTCAGAGCCTCCTCTCTTCTGATTGGCTCACCGACCTGTTGTTACTAGAGCTCCAGAGAGAAGCCTGAGAGAGGAGATGCAAAACTACACTGAGATGGTTTTTATATCTTCTGATGGATCAACACTTCAAATAAAACACAGAAGAAGAAGAAAATATGGCGCTTTAATGTTTGAAAAGGGTTTTATACATTTACATTAGATCAGAGTACGTGGATATTTTTAACCCAAACTGCTGAAATGAGTCTGAGTTCATGTATTTCTGTTTGTTCTTATGCCACCGCGTTAAAAACTTACAATCCTATAAATGCAGCTTATTTGATATAAACTCCACCTTTAATTGATGCAACCAAATCCATATAATTACACATTAACAGTGACTGACGGTGTTTCACCTACAGGTGGCACCACAGCACACGTGGATGAAATAATGGCGCTAGATGCAGATTAAATGTCAATCCTGTTGAATCTGACGGGAGCTGATGGGTCTGGTGTCACGTTTTCATAGTTCACTGTAGCATCACATACACCTCCATCATCCTGCACCTGTCAACAACAACAGCACAACAAACTGGGATTAAAGTGGAACAAATAAATGTTGAAATTTCCACCCAGACTCAGGAATGCACCATCAGTTCCTGTCTGATCTGATCTTTACCTGACTGGCTGCTGCACCTGAACGCATCACTGTTGTGCTTCTCACTGAGTCTGAGACCTGCACAGACACAAACAGTGAGACATTAACAGCCACGTATCACAGTCACATGAACAGTTAGCAGCAGCATTTTAAAATGAGGATGGTTTCTGGTTCTCTACTCACAGTGTTGCATTCAGGTGCTCTCTGGTTCCCTGGAAAATAAAGCACAGAGTAACACTTCACCTCTGAACTCACAGGTTGTGTGGATCAGCCTGAACTCATGTTGGAGCGGATGTTCTCACCTCGAGCTCTGACGAGGAGAACAGTGATCACAGTGATGAGGAGGAGTTCAGCCACACGCATCAGCAACATGATGAAGGTCAGAGCAGAACAATCTGTAGCAGCTGTGGAGAACACATGAGCACAAACATCATGTCAGTGAAGAATCAAATTCAAAATCATTCAAATAAAAGATAGAAGTTCCACATGCGCTTCACATGTTACAGACCTTATAATAATAATAATGTATAAATTGTGTAAATCTCAAGATGAATTGACCGTTTAAAGCTCCATGTTTCTTCTTCTGTGTTTTATTTGAAGTGTTGATCCATCAGAAGATATAAAAACCATCTCAGTGTAGTTTTACATCTCCTCTCTCAGGCTTCTCTCTGCAGCTCTAGTAACAACAGGTCAGTGAGCCAATCAGAAGAGAGGAGGCTCTGGCTCTCAGATTTCAGGTAAAAACACTCAGAGAAACCAAATCCTGCAAGGTTTGGATGGTGGGTCCAGGTGGGCGGGGCTTGGTGACTGCTTTGTTGTGACATCACAAAGTTCCAGAAGTCCTGACGGCTGGTTTTAAGGCTCAGTTTCTGAATACAGGCTGTGTGCATTTCTCTGTGGACTGAGGCTTTGATACTTTCACAGTATTAATATAGAAGCTAGAGCTGATCTATAATCACACTACACATGGACACAGACCTTTACACTGGAGGAGCTTTAAGTTTTTCCTGAAGATCTTGAATTTGTTTTGTTGCTGAGGTTTTGTTCGTTTGTACTGGCGTCCGTGTGATGCTGGGGGCAGCAGTGTGTGGAGAACCAACACATTAAATCTATCACCATACATCCTGTAAGCATGCGTCTACATTTGTGTTTGTTTTATGTTGAACACGTTTCTCACCTTCTTGTGTTGTTGTCGAGTTTGTCTGTTCTGATATTAATGGTTCTGTAGCCCTGCCTGACACATGACAAAACAGGAGGAGGCCAAAAATTAAAATGAGTCGAGCTGTTAATCAAATATAATTCATGAGTCATGTCGAGGTGGAGCTGTTTTCTCACCTGAGGACTGAGGTCTGAAGGTGAACCGCTGCACCTTTCCAGTGCAATACTCTGTCAGTTCACACTGGAACAACTCATACTTCTTTGATGTGTAAATTAAATGAGAAGTGGGAAAGGAAGCCGTGGCCCAGCACAAAGACGGTGACGTAGTTCCCTGTTTGGCATCTTCCCTTAGTGCCAACGTCACTAAGTATTCACACTGTGTATATGTGAACACAAAGCAGCTTAACGTCACCTCATCACTGTTCCTCTGTTCAGTCACTGGTGAAGACGGAGACATTGAGAGAGAAAGACAAGAGAGAAATGAACTTCATCACTGTAATAATCATCATGATTGTAAAGTTTCAGAGTTTTGTTCTAACAGACAGTTTGATGTAAATACTCACTGGTAACAACAGACAGATAAACCAGAGCATCTGGAGCTTGTTGTTCTCCTGATTCAAACTGTCTGCAGACGTAACGACCAACATCCTCAGCTGAGACCTTCTTCACAACCAGAGAACACTTCTCTGTCAGACTCAGTCTGTCTGATTTAGATCTGGAAAGCAGGTATGTGTTCATCTGCCCAAACCTAACCAGCTCTGTTTCTTCTTCTTCTCTGTTATTATAAGTGACGAGCCAAGAAACGCTGTCACACTCACTCCGATCTTCTTTCACATTGTCACAAGACAAAGTGACCTCACCTCCTTCTCTGACGGGGGAGGGGGACATGTGTCCGCTCACAGCTGCGAAGCAAATGAGACCTGATGTGAAAATGTTCTTGCTATAAAGTCAGTGTGAAGAAAACTTTAAATGCAACAGAACAGAAAAGTTTAAGGGAAACCTTCGCTGTGTTGACAATAAACTTCTGTTAAATGCAGATTAAATCAATGTAAATAACTTTAAATATTCTCACCTGTTAAATAAAGCAGCACCAGAAACAACGAAATACAAATCCTCTTGAAACCAGACATGCTCTGTCTCTGTCAGTGTCCAACAAACTACTGCTTCCTCAGGTGGAAGGAGTTCTTTTATTGTGGTGGGATGGGCATCACTTCCTGCTGCTTGTTTAATCTTATATTTTTGTCACTGAGAGAAAATGTTTGTGTGCACACCGACCTGAAACCGCAGTGAACATGACGACACGCCGGAGCCGTCTCTTCCTTATTCTGCTGAATGTTGCACAAACAGTCGTGATCGTCTCAGACAGTGTCACACCTGTCATTTCCCCTCATGACATCACTATCGCTCGTTTCACTGAAAACACCTTGGATTGTTTTTGTATATTATTTTACACAAATGAGACCAAATAAATCAACTTGAAAACCTGAAACCTTGTCAGTGCAGAGAGAGAGAGAGTTAGCATTAGCACATCTGCTAACACTGTGTCAAAGAAGTAGCAGCCCACACTGAGGAGACTACGCAGCCTCTGACTATCTAGTCTCCAGCTGCAGTGATGTTGTAAGGAACATCCGCTGGTTAAATTTTGTGCAACAAGTACCAGAGTAAAGTGACGTAAACGTAAACCCCTGTGCTCATGTGAACGTCAAACTTCTACTGCAAACCATCAAAAACAGACGTTACAGACAGTTCACAGTCTCAGAAAAATCCTAATCATTCTAAAATGAACGACGACAAGTAGAAACAATTTCTGAAGAAATTTCTGCTTTGGCACAAATTGAAGCTAAACTGAGTTGCTGCATTGAATTTGTACGAAGCAGCAGCTGAAGTATGAAGAGACGGAAAAAAAGGAAAAAGGATGAAGAAGTAAACTGCAGTGAAAAACTTCAGATGTGGGTCACATTGTGGAAGAGGATTAGGGCCACGTTAAATTTTGTTTTTTCTTTACTTTAACTCAGAAATAAAAAAATGTAATAATTAATTATTTTTCTGAATCCTATTGATTTTTTTCACATTAGTGCAACATGTGAAAAATATTTTCTGAGTTCAGACTTTAAACTGAATTCTAAAAAAACAAAAGATTAGGATTATATTTTTTTGATTTCTATTCAATTTTTTTTAAAGATTTCTTAACATTAAGGCCACATATGAAAAAAGATTTTCTTTTAGAATTCTGATTTTAAACTAAAATTTATATTTTGTATGTTTTTATGATTCTGAAAAAATGTATATATTTTTTTTTAGGATTTAAGAGTTTAAAATACAAATTCTAAAAATAAAATCCTTTTTAGGTTTTTATTTTTATCTGATTATCTGTTTTTTCTTCACATTAGGGCCACATGTGAAAAAATGTTTGCTGTGCATAGCTCACACTGCCTTAGGGTTTCAGAAAAACCAAACAAAGGGCTAGCTAGCAGCTGGTAGCAGAGAGGGGCTGAAGCTAGCTAGAAGTGTAAAAGTAGGATCAAAATTCTACCTGTAACTTCAGTGTGTGAACTTTGACCTTCTGATGAAGGGCTAGAGGCTGAAACATTAGGATGATTAATAAACTGTGATGCTGAGCTTTTCACTCGAGAAGACACAACGATGTCTTCCTGACCTGTAAGAAACACAAAGCAACGTGTAGTCGGGGTAACCAATATTTTAATATAATTTAGATATGAAATGCTTCATAAAATTCTTTTTTCCAAATCGCGATAATGGGGGGGGGTCGTTAATATTCTTATTCTTAGAACTGGAATGACATAATGTTAAAACACTGCAATAAAATGGGCAGTTTTTGCTACATCAATACAATTTTCCATTTACATGACGTCACAGAGGTGAAGAGACGAGACCCAGCAGCTGCCTGCGTCCACAGAAACATTACAGTAGGAAAAAAAAGCACACGTGGTTCATGATCACATGATCACCTGTGACGAACCGAACACTCACTGCTCTCTCTGTAAACATGGAGTGATCTCAGAGAAATGAAGAAGAAAACATCATATACAGACAGTAAGACTGCGTCCACATGAAGCCGTGTCCTTTTTAAAAACGCTTGAAAGAGTGTTTTCCTCCGTCCACGCTTCAGCAACAGCTTCATCTCCTCGTCCTCTTTTCACCGAGCGAAGGGAGAAACTGTCATCAAGGCCGACGTCAGGTGAGGAGGGGACAGACCCTCGTTACAACTCATCTGTTTCTACTGCGATAACGATCTGATGGCAGCTCAGAAACACTACGTTAACCAGCAGCCATCAAATTACTGTTTTATCATTATGACTAAGGCTAAAACGAGGGAGGCCCCGATTGATCAGCCGATCCGATTTTCATTAAAAATACCTGATTGGTAGATGTGAATTAATGCTCCTACAGATCAGCTGTGGTTAATACTCCGGTGTCTGCCGCTGAGAGCAGCCTCGCCTCCCACCAACAGGCCGCCAAAACAAAACAACATGGCGGCCGTGTGGACCGTGTGTGAGGCTGATAGAACGTACGACATCTGCAAAGCTCCTTGAGTTTTTCATACTGTTCTGTTGAACAACGTAAAAGCTGTTGGACGTCCCAGGTCACTACACAGCTAAACAGACTGACCAACCGCTGATCCAGCTGCTATGACGTAACAACGAAATGATCGGTATCAGCGGCAAGAAGGTGTGATTGGGGCATCGCCAGCTACAACTGGTCCTCATTTTAATTAGGGACTCATCAATATGTCAGAGTGACATACTGAAGTGTCTAATTTTGTCGAACCAACGTTCTTCAATCCGAACATTCAGTTTACTTTGAAATAAAACAGAAAAAAGCTGCAAATCGTCACGTTTCAGCAGCTGGACGCAGCAAATGTTTGGCTCCAGTTCAGTTGGTGACAACAGATGACCAACTGGCAGGAGATCGTCCTGGTGAGACAGCGTTTCAAAATGACTGTTTAGTAAAAGCTCTACATAGAGGTGAGAGAAGCAGCTGCTCAGTGTGGACAGAGCTCGTTTCAGACTGAGCAGGCTTCATGTGGACGTACTCTGGGTCAGTGCAGTGAGGGTAAAGAAAAAGCACTTGTTGTGGCTTTCTGCAGCAGCTGGCTGTGAGACTTTCATCTTCTCTTCAGCCCGTCAGCTTCACAGTCCCTGATTGGACTCCACCAGCTCGGGGGGTGGGGGGTGATCAGCTGGTAAACTCTATCCGAGCCATGTTGAAAGTGGACGTCACTCTGCTGTGTTCTGATGTGGCTGGTGAATTCATCGGACTGGCTGGTGAACCTTTGGATGGTCAGAGTGAAGTTTCTCGCCCGTCCACACGTTTGTTTTCAGTGCAAATCAGTAAGAAAAGTCTCGCTTTACATCCACTGTGCTTCACTCTGAAGGAGCTGTAACAAAGTGCCTCAGTTTCTCTTTTTTTTTCTCTTTTCTCTTTTTTTTTTGGAAAAAACCTCAGTAACAAAACTAGAATCTCAGTTAAAATAACAAGGAAAAATATACACAAATATATGTTTACAATATATTATGTACATTTACACAAGCTCTTTAAAAAGTCGATCAACACGAGGCTGCCTTAAAGAAAGTGCCATCGTCATTTTGCATAATGTAAACACGAGGCACCGACGGCGTTGCTGCTGGAGAAACTGTCTGCTCTTCTTTCTTTCACACCTCAAACTCCATCACAGTAAAGTCTCATCCTCTCTTTTCTCTGCCGACAGAAAGGCAGAAAATGTTCGATCAGAAGCCACTGACATACACGGCATGTCAGTCAGACCTCCAGCAACAACACGACGCCTCCTCAACACTCGCCGCGTGTTGGCTGATGGGAAACTGTACTAAAGTTCTTAAAAACTCCCGACATCATATCGCAGTGTGTTTAAGGCCAAACTCCATTTACTGAATTAAACTGTTTCCAGTTGTTGGCGTTGGTTGTTAATCAGATATGGGGTCGTTCTGCTCCGTGGCGGCGGTCATGACGTGTCTTGAACCTTCAGCAGCGACTTTAAATGAACAGTCATCTGCTCTCGGCTCTGGTTGCTGAGCTGAGGCTCGTTCTCTCCGACCCAGTGACTGGGCGGTTTGGGCAAGACGCTGGGTGAGGGCGGCTCGCTGAACTTGGCTCCAGCGTACACTTTCTCGCCATCTTTGAGGTATTCTGGTGCGGTTTCAGCGGGCGCGGCGCTCACGGTCTTAAGGTTGTTGGAGGCGTGGAGAGGTTTCTTCTGCTCCCGGGGTGGAGGCTTGTTGGGGCTGCTGCGATCCTTCTTCTTCGCGGCGTGGGAAGCAGCGGCGGTTTGGTCCTGCTTCGGCTTTTGGCTCCGACTGTTCACATTCTGGGTCAGCTGCTCGTGTCTGGGGTGGTTGCGGGAAGTTTGGCTTCCTGGCTCCAATCTGCCACCTTTAGATTTGAGCAGCTACAAAACACAAACAAACCGTTTTTAAATTCAACGACATGAGAGAAGTGATCCTGTCATTGAACTTTTGAAAACTGAATCAATATCATCATGTTGAGTATAAAAGTTTAGATTTGACCTTGAAACAAAATATGTCTTAAACCTTTAATAAAGATTAATTGGCCACTTACAGGTGTCATATCATGTTACATATACATATCAGTTGATAAGAAGACTTTACTTTTGTTTATCTGGGGATGGGGAAACAATAACTGAAAGTAGAACCATTGATGGGAAAACAGGGAAAATGACAGAAACACGGCACAAAGAGTTAGCTCCCCCCTCGGGGGTCTGGGAGTGGTTCAGCTTTGAAGACAGGGTCCTATCACCTGGTGGGAGACTTCATCTGTACACCAGTTTGGCCAAAACTCAGACCTTGATCAAACGTCTTTCACAACCCTCATGTCCCATCTTTTTGTCTTCTGTACCTGACCTATCAACAGACAAGTTACATCCTATAAAAAAATGTTTTCTACAAGTCAACAAGCCATTGCTCTGTTACAAAGCCGCACTTCCTGCACCATAAAACATCTGTGAGGCCTTTTCTAGTGAGTGTTACGAAACCTGAAACTTCCTCTCCTCTGTTGCTTGACAGACACGCCTGTCAGCAGTGTCAGCTCAGGGCATCTCACCTCGGTGAAGCAGCCGGCAGAAAGAGGAAGACGGGCTTGTTCATCACATGACTCCTGTTTACACCACAGGGATTAGTAACTGCGTCACCTCAAGCCGCCTCAGCCACAGATTAAATCCACTTCATTTCAAGACTACAATAACATTTTTTTTGTTTAATTAAGTTATACTAGTTATCTTTTTAATGACAACTTGTAAGCATGTCTTAAATAATAGTGATGTTAACAGGGTTGCATCTAAACATTACTTTCAACTACTGGTTATTTTCAGAGTTGATCACTGAGTCTTTTGGTTCATGAGATAATCATCTCTCAGCAAATATTCGTATTTAAGAAGTGAAAAATTGGGACTTTTACTTAAAAAATTACTGCTGTTGTCAACTAATTTTCTGTTGACTGACTAATAAATCAGAAAGCTCCCAGGAGAGGGGGGATATGTATGTTTTGGTACTTCACTTGAATATTTCCATTTTTTGAGGTTTGGACAAAACAAACGTTGGGCTGTGAGCAGCTGTGATGCCATTTCTCACTATTTTTGTGTTTGTAGTTTTTGGTTGGGTTACAAAAATAGTACCAGTTGTATACACTGAATAAAAATTACTATTATATTTTTTAAAGTGTGTTTTAGTGCCACAGTAATGGATCTGGGTATTTATGTTAACTCATGGTGATTTATCAAGAGCATAATATTAGGTTAAGACAGCCTTTACGTTGCCTGATAAAACGACTAACTTGTAATAACATGTTTATCATCTAACCCTGGAGGCCGAACGGATGATAGCGACTACAACCCAGGGAACTCACCTCTTTCCTGGCTCCCTGGTTGAGATGATGGAGGGTCAGTACGGTCTGTGTACCGGCAGGAAACTCGGTACCGGGCTGAGCCGCGGGTCTATTGGCGGACGGAGCCGTCAGAGTGTTGTTGTTGTTGTGGTCGGACAGGCGGACGTTGGGGCCGTTTCTCGGGGGTTTCTGGTGCTGGTGCAGCGGCGCCGCCGACCGCAGCTTCCTCCCCCCTTTCTTCAGCAGCGCCTGCCTCGCTTTGTTGCCCGTGTTCAGCCCGTCGCTGCCAGAAATCAGCGTCACCGGGTTGTTGTTTTCGACGTTGCCGATGTTGGTTTCATCGCTGTGAGCCGGAGATCCGTCCAACATTTCTCTGAAGCGGCGGAAACATAAACAGGCTGTGAAATTCCTTTGCAGCTAAGTTGTTTTAGCTAACAACGTCACAAGCTAACAGTTAGCTAAGTGGATAAAACACTTTTCTTATCCAAGTTGCCTTCCCGCGGAAATTATTTTTTAACGAATATAACGTTATATTGTCGTCTCACAAGTTCCCGGGTGTAAACCTGTCAGTTTTTAATCGTTTCTGCTGCTAAAAATGTCGACGGACTTCTTGTTCAGAGATGGCGCGTCTGTGTTAGCGAGCTGGGGAGAGCAGAAGTAGCACGAATGCTAAGTTAGCCGAAGGAAAAGACAGGACTTCCGGCGATGGCTTTCAAAATAAGACAAATGGGCAAAGCAAAAAAGATGCAGTGCGGACTGCAGAATCCGCAGTGCATGAAATGATCTGTTCAGCAGTAAAAAGTAACGAAGTACATTTACACAAGTACTGCACTTTTGAAGTACTTTGACTTTACTTCTTTTAATGCCACTTTACAACTCAGATGGAAATCTATCTGCCAGCTTTGGTTATTACAGATTTTCCAAATTAAGATATTCGCATGTACATGCATCAAATGAAGAGCTTATATAACATAATGTTTTGCTGGAAATTAAACCACCCGAGCTTAAACTATTAGTTAATTAATCCTTAAATTGATTGACAGAAGATTAATCTGCAATTTTAAGTCTTTTCTCATGTAAGAATACCAACATTTTAAGGCTCAAGCTTCTCAGCTGTAAAGATTTGAATATTCTTCCATTATTGCATCCTTAAGGTAAGTAAAGGAAGGGCTTTAGGCAGTAGCCTGAATTGAAGAAACAACAAAATAATTTGTGATGTTAACTGTTTGGTTATATTTATTAAAGATAAGAAAAACACAGAGTATTGGTACCTGTCTGTTATTTATGATATACTTACACTATTATTATATTGTTGGATTGTAATGCTTGTTTACATATGCATGAGCTTAATAGCTGTACTTTATTCATTTTCGTCACGTGTTACTGCAGTTGTTGTTGTTACTTTTATTCACACTATTATTTTGTAGATAAATTCTCCCAACTTCCGGTATTATTGTATGTAGCTTGATATAAATCTCGTTTTCCGGGTCCCCTGTTTCCAGTAAGAGGTGTAGCCAACCCCGTCCTGTCAGTGACGTTTTACCTTTCATTTGGCTGCACCTTTTCAAGGCAGAGCTCAATGTTCAGCTGCAGTGGGCGGGGTTAACTCTGTCAATAATACAGTGAGTAAATTAGTTAGTAAATTAAGTAGTTAACTAAAACCAGACCTGGAGAAACCGGATTACCAACCCACCAAAGAGCCTGTGTGGCAGGTGTAAGGTATTATTGTTATTATTATTATTATTATTATTATTATTATTATTATAATTATTTTCTCTCATAATCGATTCATAGTAAAAGAAAATGTAAGAAAATAGTGAAATGTATATATATATTACATGTTGGTGTCATGGTTATAATATTGAGCATGATAGAAAAGTCAAGTTTTAAGCAGGAGCCTATGGCTGGAAATAATAATAATGCATGGCAAGATGTGATTAAAAAGAATGTGTCATGGTTATAATATTGAACATGATAAAAGGTTACATTTAACCAAGAGCTTATGGCTGAACATGGTAGTGTTTCATGGCAAGACCTGATTGAAGGGATGGTTCATGGTTTTCATGTGTTGGTGTAGCGGTTCATTAGAAAGAGTGAGTTAAGGAAGAGTAATTCATTGTTTTTATGTGTCTTCAGTTGGGAATATAAAAAATGATTGATCGTCTATTCTGTGTTCAACTGCTTTTGCCTGGCAGGTATAGAAGACGACAACAGACAGTGGCGGCACTTGTAGCGGCATGGCTGATTGAAGAGAATACACACTAAAAAATGCTAACGTGTCGTGCTCGTGTAGTTTTTCCACCTTTTATTTACTTTATCATTTTCCCCGGCAACGGGGCGTAACATTGGCACTTTTGTCATTTTTGTTTATTTTATGTGATTGTAAATTGAAAAATACGCTCTATATAAAGTAAGTCTTTCCTAATTGTAACTTGTGAGTATTGCTGCTGCTGTGTTGTAATAAATAGAGCATGTATGAACAAACACATCCACTGACACTGAGCACAGGTTTGATTTCACACAGTTTTACTGTAGAAAACGTTTGACCACAGAACCCAAACTCACCTTCATAACCATCAGTAAAAACTACGTCTCCTTCACTCTAACTTGTTCAAAAAACACTGACAATACATTGGTGGGCTGGGTTTTCTTTTTCATACAAGTGCACAAAAGTTCAAAAACTATCAATCGTGAGTGAAAAAACACAGACGCTTTAATCCACTACAAACGAGGCTAACACGTGTTTGGCAAAGAGAACGGAGAAACTGAAAGGCAAATGTGAAACTCACATGGGAGGAAATATTAAAGGTCTGATTCAGTACAAAAAATAGATACAGTATATAAACAATATACAAATACAACAGAAACATCTACGTATCCGTCCCTGTGAGTGCAGTACATATCGTTTGTCACCTTGACGGTTGAAGGCAAATCAAAGAGACATTGAGGGTCCTGGAGGCGGAGCTTCGTCCGGGTGGCGGAAGCAGCGTCGGCGGCTCAAGGCTGCGCTTCGCCTTCAGGGTCGTCGTAGATGTAGCTGCCGACGCCCCCGGTGTTCACACCTGAGGGAGAGCAGGACACACGGGCTTTACCTCCACCCTCCGCTCTGACACTTCTGTCATGACGCCAGCACTTTCTAAATAAACTCAACAGCAACTTGTCTTTTGAGAATCAAAGTCCTGGTTACTCCGGATTACCCACAATCCTCAGTGTGGACAGTTTTCATTTGAAGGCTTGAAAATGTGCCATCTGATAATCTGCTCTTGTGGATTTCAAATGTATTTGGAGAAACAGAGGTTGTTGTAATAGAGTGGAGGCAGAGGAGAAATCTGAACCTGAATATATGAAACAAAAAGATCTGCAGAAAGTTTCATGAGAGAATTAGTTTTTTTTGTGAGTCTGATCCTTCAAAACAAAACAGAGAACAAGTAATTCTGATAGAAACGCATCAATAGCTTAGAAAAACTAGGATCACCTCCTTGTGGTCGTATCCCTCCTCCACACAGACTAGTTCCAGGTCACATCCCTGTTCATCCAGTCAGATAAGATATCAACCATTTGTGGGAAATTTTGTCATAATTTCTGTGTGAAGTATAATTGTTTTGTGAGGTCACACTGACCTTGACCTTTGACCTTTGAAAAAAGATTAATAATTGACATTATGGACCAATTAAGTAGAAATATTTAAAAAATATTTTTAGGTCAAAATGAGTCTGAAATTATAAAAGTATTTAAATTGTTCAAGAAGTGGAGAGATTTCTGACAGCTATTGATTTCCTCTTGCAGGCAGCAGCCCCCCCTGCTGCCCTCTGCCCCGTACTGCACCGACTTCATACCTTTGGGTCCGAAGAGCACAGCGTAGCACGGTTTGTGGCAGTACGGCTGTCCGTCATGCTGCAACACAAAACAATCATTCCATTTAACTCCTCCTCCTCACATGACATCATCATCATCAACCTTCAGTGAAACATCTGGTTACAGGGGAATAACAGCTGCTTCTGGCTGAACGAGAATCTTATTCTTTAACAAAAAGCTCCGTCTGTAGGAATCCTGTCCATCATGTCGTCAGACGATGCACCGTTTGATTCCATCGCAGCAGCTGCTTAGTGCTTCCTTTGTGAAGATTTAAATTGCAAATTTCCCCAGTGTGGGACTAATAAAGGAATATATCTATATATATATAAATCTATTTTTAAATTCAATGTATTTATTGATGATGAATCATTGATTTATAAATTCTTTTTACACTTCCTGATTTTAATGCCAATTAAAATATGAAATAAAGGAAATGCTTCATTACTTTTCCTGTGACGTCTCTGCTCCTCCACATGACTTGACTTACATTTCCTGAATCTTTGTCTGTTTTTTTCTCTCTAGTGAAATGAACTAGAACCAGGAGAAGAACCAGGAAGTTCAGCTGGTGTCTCACCTCTGCGTGGCTGCCGGGAGCCAGAGTCTTACTGCATCTCTCACAGCGCAGACACGGGCGATGCCAGTTCTTCCCGAGAGACGACACCTTCTCAGCTGCACACACACCCACACACACACACACCCACACACACACACACACACAC